TTGGTATGAGCAAGAAGACCAAGGTGGAGTTTGGTACTTCTATCCATCATTCGAGGGGTCTTCTGAGGGGTGTTCATTCAGGCATTCGGGGGCCTTCTAAGGAAGCATCATTGGGAAGTAATAGGTATGTGGTTTCCGCAGTTGGGGACTATTTTAGGTATTGGTGGGTTGTAACCAAGTCCCGTTGGTGTGAATTCCTAGAAGTCTGTAATAGATGGAGGAAGTGTGTTGGCAAAAAGGTAACCTGACGTTCTGTTTATAGTAGGGTTTCTTTCTTACGTTTGCGCCGAGGTCAAGGCAATTTGAGACACCTCATTAGTGTGGAAACTTTGAGGTGACGTGATGAGATGGTAGATTTAGGGAGCTGTTCCTTTCTGGAAGAGGATAGGCGTTTGATGTCGAGCATTGGCATTGGTGTGCAGGCTACGACATGTTTGGGCCATCTTATGCATAGGTTGCCGACTACTGCTTGTAGAGATTTTGGATTTGGTGGAGCTATTTCAGATTTTGGGTTGCAACGGATGTTTGGCTACCGAACACTTGGTCACATCGTGCATGTGAGATTTGATTCGATAGCACATTTGGGATTCAGAGGCGTGTTTGATTATCAGGTATTAGATTCTGACTTTGTTCTGAGCAGGTATGTCACGTTTGACTCTTGGCAGGTGGAGAGTGGTGATCAGATCATTAGGACATCGCAGCGGGTGGAGAGTGATGCTACTCCATATTGGGTGGACGTCACGTACTTCAGATCATACTGCATAGTTTGGGATTTCAGCTGATGTGACACGGATTAGAAATCATGTTCATTTGGATGTAGATGATAGGTTTGTTTGACCCCAGAGGGGGGGTGATTAGGGTCTTATGCTAATCTAATCCGATTTTATGCCAATTAAAACTTATTAACAAGTTATCCTAGCAAGTATGAAATACAACATGATATGTGAGCTAGGATAAGTAATATGAACAATGAGATATATTCTATATGATAAAAATATATGCAAGGATATATAAACTAACACAAGGGTGATATAATCAAACTATAAAAGTGATAGGGTAAAATATACAAGAGTAATAGGCAATGGCGATATAAGATAAATGCATAAGCAAATGCGCCAATGACAAACTCAAATACACTCAAATGATCATGGAGTTCGGACCTTCCGTCCTACGTCTCCGCTCCCTACTCCCGGGGAGAAATCCACTATCACAACCGGGTTTTCTATGTTCACCCGAATAACGTTTACACCTCATAATGTCGGTTTTTAACGCTCACCGATCAACGTAACACTCACACTAACAATGTCGGTTTTCAACACTCACCGATCAATGTTCACTCCTCACACTCGGTTTTCTAGCTCACCGAAAACTTTACAATCTCACAAAATAACAAACAATAAATTTGTTCTCTATAATAGATGAAAACACAATGAAAACTCACACTCAATTGTTATAACTCTCACCAATCCAAATATGCTATGTATGAAAATATAATAAGCTCAAGTGGGTGGGTGTAAACAATGAGTGAAATAAAATCAACTAAACTCAAATGTAAATACTAGCTTAATAGAAATGATATTCAACAAATAATTATAAATAAAAGCTAGAATTGAGTTTAGGAAAACTTCTCTAGATAACAAGAGAGAGAGAGAGATGGATTGAAGCTCAAACACCAAGTGATGATCTCTTCTAGCTCTTGTGAAATTGAATTCACAAAATCAGACTCTCAATTGCTTAAAAGCTTTTAAAACAAACTTTAAACAAAACTTAAACCCTTGTTAAAATATTCTAAAACTTGTTTAAAACACTCTCATTGTATCTAAAATGATAAATACAATGGGGTATATATATGGTAGAAGAAAACAGCCCCAAAAACCCCAAAAAACCACTAAAAGACAAAAATCAGCAAGTTACTGTTACTGTGCAACGGTAACTTCGGCGGTCGACCGTCGCGGTCGACCGTGAGAAGGAAAACTCAAAAACTGCTCTCTGGATTGCATACGATCGACCTCCACGGTTGACCACACTGTAGCACGGTCGACCGTGGTGGTCGATTGCACTGTAGCAAACATGAACAGGCAGTTTCCAGTTTTTGATAGTTCTGGAATTTTACATATCTGACTTTGTAAAATCAATTAAAAATAGTAAATAAACTTCAAAAATCATGAAATTTTGGGGAAAGGTTCTAGACATGTAGATTAATATGTTAGAGAAAGATATTCTGAAAAATCACTTCCCAGTTGAGAGAAATAAATGTTTGAACATAGATAAATAGTTTCTAAAAAACTCCTAAAAACTCAGTTTTGTAAATTCAATTAAAAATAACAAAACAACTCCAAAATTAGTAAAACTTGGGTAAATGTTTGTATATATGAATATAAGCATGTAAACGAAGAAATTTTTCAAATTGCATTTCCCAATTGTGAAAACTCATGTATTTTGTAAGTATATCCAAAACATGAAAAGTTGATATACATGAAATTTGATGTTTTGACATAAACACAACTTTGAAACATTTTCAAACGTTATTATAGACTTAATAAAAGATATAAAAAGTTGTTATGAAGTCTATAAACTAGAAACATAATATTTTCACAAATATGCATATTCTATGCAATATTTTCTAAAACACAAATATGTAATCTCATATTTATAAACATGGAAACCCAAAAACATTTATGTATATATATAACTATATATATATACATAGAAACTAAAAACTTGTATGTATATATAAAACTATATATACATAGAAACCAAAACTAAAATGTGTGTGTATATGATATCGAGCTTAAAGTATTGAACACACATAATATAAATCTAAACTAATATATCCAAACAATCTTTATCTTCAATAAGCTTGACCTGGTACACTATGCGGATGAAGCTGAACTTGGATCATAAACTTGAATTGCATAAGCTTCACTCCACAATTCCGCCAACCTCAATTTGATATTGTCGTTGAAGCGCTATTCCATCCATCCTCCAACTCGTTGTTTGCCTAGAATAAATACGAAAACACAAACACTAGACAAACAACATTAGAAGTAAATTGTTTATTAAACATCATCAAAACAAGAAGGCTAACAAGGTTGATCGAATCGAGTGTAGCTGATAGATAGAGTCTGGGTATGGCCATTGGTTCATCTTAGGTGGATATGTTTGGATTGTTTCAGTTTGGGGCCATTGGAGGTGCTATCAGCCATAGACTTGATCGTGATGTTGGAGAAGGGTTGCGAACTCTTCTAGTGGATTGAGGCCTTTGGAGACCATTTGATGAACTACGTTCGCCTTGATTCCTTGGGCAAGAGGATACGTAGGCAGTCTTTCGATGCAGCCGGTTTGATTCAGATGGGGGGAGATCGTTTCAGCTCTAGTTTGGATCCCGGACTTATTGTGGATTGAGTCCGTTGTCGAGGGGTGTTTCCACGACGTCCTAGATGCAACAAGTGGGACTTTTGGATGATTTGGTATGAGCTTAGTTTTGGTAGAAACATTCGCCGAGGTGGAGAATTGAAGAAGCAGTGAGAGAAGTGCAGGAAATCAGCAGGAGAATGACCAGGCAGACTAGCGGTCGATCGCGAGTCAGCGGCGGTCGACCGCAAACATGCACAAAGTGCAGTAGGATTCGGAGCTGAAGGCGGACGACCGTCACGGTCGACCGTGCGAACCCTGTAATGGATTTAACTCTCGAGAATTGGTTCGGTCGACCGTTGTAGTCGACCGTGAGTTTCTTGTAGCCGATTTATTCTCTGTTGGGGGTGTTCGGTCGACCACCGTGGTCGACCGTGATACCTGTGCGACCGACCGTCGCGGTTGACCGCAGTCTGTTTTAGGCTGGGCTTTGGTATTTTAACCCGTTTCGTTTTGAGTTAGTATATAACTCTAATTCTGATTAGTTAGGGTTAAGCAAAGACGTTTTTGAGTAGTCTTTGGGATAGGATTGTTGTAACCAATTGTGGGAGATTTGTGAGAGGTCTAGAGCTTTGTTTTATGGTTTGATCGGTGAGATTTGTAATTCTACTTGTAGTCTCTTGATTTCTAATAGTAAGAACTCCCCTCTCCTTGCCCCGTGGACGTAGGCAACTTGCCGAACCACGTTAAACTCGTTGTCTTACTGTGGTATTGTGTTTTGCTTATTAGTTGTGATTTATCTCTTGGATTGTTTATGTCGCTTCTAGGCTTCCGCCGCGCACAACATGTACTCCTCTTTATTTTGATCTGCTAGATTTAGAGCAAGCAGATTCGGCTTGTCAAATGATGTATTTGTCAAGCATGATGTGATGGGCTAGGAGTTGTAGCATGACAGATATTACCACAAAGATTTGATTGGTAATTTTATTTGTGAGCGTAGTTCTATAAAGGAGTGACCATTGAGTGCGGATCCTGCCTTCGTGTTTGACTTCAGATTGATGGATTATATTATATCCTCACAAGATTCACCCCAACCTTTTAAAATTGGACACATGCGGGCTTGAATGCAATATAACCTAGATCTGTGACCGTGCATGTTATGTTACATTTTGAACGAGACCCTAACTAAAATGTGAACATAGGCCTCAATTCCCTTTTTAATTTCATTCCTCTCGTCATAACCTATGACGTAGAGAAAACATTATCTTAATTGCTCATTTTAATTTATTTTAATGAATCGTTACTTGATATCAACTAGGATCTTTCGTAACCTACTTCAACCTTTTTATATCCAAATCTTGTTCATGTGAACACTTGCTTGGTCCATGTGCGAAAACTTAGTGGATCCTCGTGATCTATAGATAACCGTGAAAATGTAGACAAGTTGGTGGTTTAGAAAAGTAGTAGTTGGTCATTGGTACGATGTTTTTATAACGAGAGAGGGAGAGGGAGGGGGGAGATAAGCACGCTTGCCTATTGGCTTTTGACTCCTTTTTCTAGCTTAGCATCTTCTCCTTAATTACGCAACACAACACATTATAATATTTGTATTTAGCTATTTAAAATTGACTACAAATTAAAGAAATCGATATCACAAGCTTAAGGAAGCTCAATACCTGCACCTCCTCAAGTGAGAAATCTAGGGCAATAAGCGGCCGAAGAAAACAGGTTTTTTTTCCACCTCCAGTTTATCATAAATATCTCTATTGATTTTTTATTTCTGCTTGTTTTTTTTGGTTATTTCTAAACCTATACTTTTATTAGTTTTCATGATTTATAATTTTCATCTAGGGTTATTGTGATCGACTTGATTAAAGCATAAAATGGGAAAGGCAAAGATTGCAATCAAGAAGATTGACAACTTGACGAGCAGACAAGTAACTTTCTCGAAGAGAAGGGGAGGGCTTCTGAAAAAGGCGAGGGAGCTCGCTATTCTTTGCGACGCTGAGGTCGGACTCATCATCTTCTCAAGTACAGGCAGACTTTATGATTTCTCCAACACAAGGTCAACTTGCTCATATCCTTCTTTTAAGATGTTTGATTGTCCGCATATATAGTTTCATATGATTAGATCTACAAGTGGAAATTAGATGCAAATAATTTAAATTAAGTCCATGGAGAAAAAACAATTTTGTTTTTCATCGGGAAAAAAGTGGATGGCTGAAGCAAAATTAGTTATATTGGTTTTCTCCTATATTGATCTAAAAGCAAAACACAAGTCAATAGATATATGTGTTGACTATTTGCTTGATATAACAAAGAAAAAAGTCCGCATGGATTTTTTTCATCCGCGATGCAAACACCATTGGATTTTCTTGCCAACTAAATTGTTAATCCAACATATATATGACATGTTTCTAGTATTTTCTTGCGATAAATAGCTGTCATCTTTCTTTTTTATAGAAAGAAAGGCATTATCTGAAAAAAAATTGCATGTCGATCGTTAGATCCCTCTATCAAAGGGACGATGAGAATTTATATATTATTTAGAGTAAACGTCCTACAAATGTAATAATATTGGTAAGGTAATTAAGACAACAAAGAAGCAAAAATGACTATATATGAGTGAAGATTTTATTAATTAATTAATTAAGAGGATTTATAACTGCTAAAGATGAGACAAGAAGATATCTCAATTGGTTAAATAGAAATCTAAATCTAAGTCTATTATCCATCATCATAATCCTTTAATCAGAACTGAGAAAATGCAAGCTTCTATTGTAACGAGCTACGGTTAGGATTTGATAACGCATTGAAAGGCTGAGTGGAAATCAAATTCTAGCTAGTGCAATAGAGACATAAAAGCTACTATCTGTGCTTGGCTCCTTGATTTAATTCCTTATTTTAGAAAAAGCATTCTTAGTGAAAACAATATTCTATATTTTTATATTGTAGGTCAATAATATTAAGATCGTCTTGCGTAGACAGAGAATAAAATTAGATTATTCTTTACAACAACATTTGTATGTTCTCACAATTACATTACGACACATGTCGAAAGTGTTCATGTTAATTGTAAAAGATTAAACGACACGAATAAAAAATGTCGCAAGCCACGACACATGTTCTTATCATTAGGAACAAAATAAAAATAAATACATCACAAACATGTGCTGTGAGTTTTACGCGATAGTTCCACGTTTGCAGAAATACTCTCTCCACACATGGTCTATCTATACTTTCGACTTGTGTCATGCTTCATTTGTGCTATCTAAAGATGATGTCAAACACCAAAAGTAAACGTTACAAATTTTATGGTAGGATTGCATAGGAAACTCCCTAGGATAGTATAGCAAAATCCAATTTCGTTCTCGCATCAGTTTTAGGAATCTTATTGGATCTAAGAGATAGATTTATGCCTTTTCTTAAACTTATTTTTATGAGAGCCTGAAGTTTTCCGATTAATTATTCTCGACCATTTCAGGCATTCTAGAATACTGTAAAGAATTTGTTCATTGGTGTATCAACTAAAAATTTAATGTTTACGAATGTAATGGTAATTTGATAGCTTTACTGTTTATTAGTAGCTAGCTTTAATGTTATTATTTGCAAGTAGAATTGAGACCTAGGATTGGGTCGGTAGGATGACAAATTTGTAATTATTTATTCCTGCACGACAGATTAAAATTATGTCATGCATAAAAGTATTTATGCCCTAAGATGTAGCATGCAGGTGGTAATATTAAATCTATCATGATTTCATGTCTTGATTGTTGGGACAAACCCGCGACCCAATAAAACAGGGTCGCAGCAATAGTAAAGTGAAAGTAATAAAGAAGAGGAACACACAGATTTACGTGAAAAACCATTTAAATGAATTTGGAGTAAAAACCACGGGCAATGATAAAAAAATCCACTATGAGAAAAAACATAGGAGTTACAATCTCTCTTTATAAGGAAAAACTCTCTCTATTTTCTCTCTCATCACAAATTCGAACTATTTTTTTTTATCTTTTGTGATTCCTTCTGTTTGAGTCCTAATTGTGATTGTTTTATTAGCAAGATCTTTGATTTTCGTTTCTATGAGTGAAGAATTTTCATTTACACAATTCATGGATCGAATTTGAGTGGTCGATTCACGGATAATCTTATTATTTATATTGGAATCTTTTCTTCTTATAGAAAAGTTGTTTCTGGGATGAATTTTTCCTTAAGAGTTTAGGGTCTATTTATAGTGTTTGGGAAAACACTATACACTAATAAAATATAATATTTTACTTTGCAACTTTAAAATTTTCAAACTCTTTTCCATTCGGTGCAGTTTTCTCTGAAATAAAATTTCTTGTGGGTCCCACTCTTTTGTTTTCTTGCTACTTTCGGCTGAGAATCTCCTACTTGAAGATTTGATTGAGTATCAATCATATCTTCACATAATTCTTTCTATCTTATCATCTTTATGTTGCTTACTTCTTCGACAGACAACAAGAGGATCAATACCAAATAAATTTGTCATTATTGACTGCTTTTGTCAAAAAGTCTACTAGGTTATTTTTGGTGTGAATTTTCTGCATTCCACTGTTCCTTCTTCCACTTTCTCACGAACGAAGTGTTACTGAACTTGAATGTGTTTTGTCTTTGAATGAAAGGCTGGATTTTTTTCTAAATGTAAAGCACTCTGACTGTCACAAAATAGACAAATCTTCTTTTGTTTATACCCAAATTCCTTCAGCACCATCTTCAACCACATCACCTCTTTACTAGCTTGTGTAGCTGCTACATATTCTACTTTTGTTATTGAAGTAGCCACAATTAACTACAGTTTTGATATCAAGCTTACAGCTCTACCAGCAAGTGCAAACACATAGCCTATGGTATATTTGCTATTATCACGTTTACCTGCATAATCAGAATCAACATATCCATTTATAATAAAATCAGATCCCTCATAATATAATGCAACATTTGAGGTACCCTTAATGTATCTTACAACCCTCTTTACAATATTCCAATGCTCTTTACCAGGATTCGTCATGTATTGACTAATCACTCCCCTTGCTTGTGCAATGTTTGGTCTTGTACAAATCATAGCGAACATTAAGCTTCCCACTGCTGATGCATACAGTACTCAAGACATCTCCAACCTCTCTTCTTCATTGCTAAGACTCATACTGGAGGATAACAGGAAGTGGGGTAGAAATTAACTTACAATCTTGCATGTTAAAACGTTGCAAAATTTTCTTTAAATAATTCTTTTGAGAAAACCAAATCTTCCTATTAATTCTGTCTCGATAAAATTGCATCCCTAGAATCTTGTTTGCAGATCCTAAATCCTTCATTTCAAATTCCCTAGTCAACTGAGCCTTTAATTTTTTGATATGATCTTTGTTGGGGCCTGCAACCAACATGTCGTCAACATACAACAATAATATAACAAAGTTATTTTTACCAAACCTCTTGAACTATGCACAAGGATCTGAATTAAGTCTGTTGTATCCAAGGCTCATGATGAATGAATCAAATATCTTGTACCAATACCTTGGTGCCTACTTTAGACCGTGCAGAGATTTTTTTGAATCTACAAACCAAGTTCTATTTTTCTATTTATTCAAACCTTCTGGTTGGAGCATGTAAATTTCTTCTTTAAGATCTCCATGAAGAAATGTTGTTGTCATATCTAGCTGCTCTAGATGTAAGTCAAATATAATGCTCATAGTCAGAACTATTCGGACTGTTGTAAGTCAAACTATAAGAGAAAATATTTTATTAAAGTCAATACCTTCTTTCTGAGCATATCCTTTTACCACAAATCTAGTACGATATCGCTCCACTTGATCATCGTCATTTCGCTTGATCATATAGACCTATTTATTTCCATTGGACTTTCTTCCCTGTGGCATTGACACAAGTACCCAAGTCCTGTTCTTATGGAGTGCTTTAATTTCTTCCTGCATTGCTGTCATTCACAAAGATGCATTTATGCTATTTATACTTTCATGAAAAGTTGATGGCTCTCCATCATCTGTTAGAAGATAGTATGCAACATTACTCTCTGTAATATACTCCGAGTGCCAAGTCGATGGTCTTTTCTCACAAGTTGAATTTTGAACTTTTGGAGCCTCAGACTCGACTGGTTCTTGTACATCATGCACCGGTGTTTCTTCAGAAGAATTTGGATCAGTTTCTACCTGAACAGCTACAGTCTCTGAGTCCTTCCTCGAACTGCTTTCTTTTTCTTCACTTTGTAGTTGATTCTCTACAAAGATAACATCTCTATTGATGATAACCTTGTGGGCAGTAGGATCCCACAAACGATACACCTTTACTCCATCACCATACCCTAAGAATATGTATTTTCTGGATTTTGAATCTTGTTTATAATTTTTTGGACATTGTACATAACGTACACTGGAATTCCAAATATATAGAGGTTGGAATAATCAGTTGGCTTGTCAGTTCACATCTCCATCGGCGTCTTCAATTAGATTGCAGTTGATGGAGATCGATTCACCACATAACAGACGGTTTTTACTACTTCCGCCCAAAAGACTTTATCCAAATTTATGGTTGCCAACATAGCTCTTGTTCTTTCCAACAGAGTTCTATTCATTCGTTCCGTCACTCTATTTTATTGAGGAGTATAAGCAATACTGAATTGTCTCTTGATGCCTTCTTGCTTACAGAATTCAAGAAATTCACTGTCTGTGTATTCTCCTTCATTATCTGACCTCAAGCATTTGATCTTCTTTTCAAATTTAAGCTCCACTCGTGATTTGTAGGCTTTAAAGACTGAGAACACATTCGCCTTCTTCTTAATAGGATACACCCAACATCTCCTGAATAATCATCAATAAATGACACAAAATATTTTGCTCCTCCCAGGAGTGTAACTGGTGCTTGCCATACATCAGAATGAACCAGTTCCAGAATAGCATTACTTCTAGAACTCAATGTGTTGAACTTCAGTCGATGTTGCTTACTTGTAACACAATACGCGCAGAAGGGAGGAGTTACCGAATTAAGTCCAGGAAGTAGCTTCTGATTGGAGAGAATATTTAAGCCTCGTTC